CCATCTATCAGTGTACCCCAAATGTGCTGAGGGGCACACCTGAACAGGTAGGAGAAAAGGCACTACCAAGAGATACTCACACACAGCTGGAGGACTAATATCACACAAACGAAAGGGGCTTCTAAGTCTCCAATCACTTCTGCCTTCTTTGAAACTAACACACCTGACCCCTGAATGTATCTTAAAGGTGAGGTTTTAGTTCTTTCAAAGATCTCTTCCTGTTTCTCAGACTACTCATATATTAATTGGTGTTCTGTGGAAAAGAGGTTTCCTGGTTGTGGAAATGTCTATTCTCTAATCAACTGCCAGCCTCCCCTACTTCTTGTCCTTCAAGCGTGTGCCCAGCCCCAGGGGATGCACCATGGCTGACCCAGCACAAACATGGCTCTCCTGTTCCCTTTGCCATATGCTGGCTTTCCCAGCCTGCCTTATGACAAGTCTTGTGACCCAAGCCTGACCCATGAGATACAAAAAGTCTTCTGGGGATTGTCTGGAAAAGATTTTCCTCTGCTGATAAAAAAGAAAAGCCACTTGAGGAAAGAACCCCTTGGTCAGCCTCTGTTCCTCACCTTTGCCTCCCTCCTATGTCTTTGAATGAAACCATGATGCGTGGACCTGCAGGAGCCATCCGCAACCATGAAACTACATGCACAGGGGCAAACAGTGAACAGAGCATAGTGCAGCTGAAGGGTGGAAAAGCGCTGGGTTATTGGTGACTGCTGGCCCCACTGCCCACCCTTACTCTCATGTTTGGAGAGAGAGGTAAATGTCTTTAGTGCCTGAGCCACTGTTATTTGGGAATTCCGTTACATACAGCCAAAAGCCCTCCTAAGTGATCTAAGAGTGATGGAGACTTAGGGCTCCCAAGTCTACCTGACTTCTGTGTGTGTGTGTGTGTGTGTGTGTGTGTGTGTGTGTGTGTGTGTGTAATAAATACTACAGCATCTATGATGCTCACACCATTTTGTATGAGTATGCATTCACTTGCAGATCAAAACATTAGTTGACACAATAGTACAACATAAAAGCAAGCCAAAGAACTCTTCCTCTACAGAGCACAACTGTGCAAATATAGTCCTAAATGTTTTTCAAATTGAGGTTAGGTGGCATTTATGCATAAGTTTATAGGTAAAGCTCCAAAGGATATGAGAAACTACATGGTAAAGCTAAGTGAGGTAGTGGTGATGGATTGGGGGTATGCAGGGGGACAGATTCTGTTCTCCAAAAAAGTCTGTTGATGTCTTAACCTCTGGTGTCTATCCATGTGACCTTATTTGGAAATAAGGTCTTTGCAGATGTAATCAAATTAGAGTGAGATCATTCTGGAGCAGAGTAGGCCCTAAGCCCAATAACTGGTGTCCTTATAAGGAGAGGGAGATTTCCAGACCCACAGAGACATGGGAGGGAATAAGGCCCTATGAAGACAGAGTGATTTGAGTTACGCTGCTAGAGCTAAGGGACCCAGGAGCCCAGGGGCTGGAGAGGTGAGGCAGGATTCTCACCCAGGGCCTTCAGAGAGAGCCTGGCCCTGCCAGTATCTTGATCTCAGACTTCTGCCTCTAGAACTGTGAGTTTTAAGTTCCTGTTGTTTTTAGGCCATAGTCTGTGGTACTTTGCCACAGCAGCTGTAAGAAACTAACAGAGAGTGAAAAACTGTTTTTAGCTTCAGAAGAAATTGGGAGGGAAGACCGAAGCCAGATACAAGGCACTGAATGAGATAATAAAAGACAGTTAACTACCTTACAGAATAAGTCTTTGGGAAGTTTGAAACTATTCAGGGATTGGATTCAGTTTTCACATTTCAAAACTGGGGATAATAGTACTTAATCCCTAAGGTTATACATGGGGTACAGTCTGTATAAGGGAGTGGATAATTTATTGTAAGTTATTAGTAGGTACCAACAGGTTAGCATAATAAGTTATTACTCATTAATTTACAACACAGTAATCATTCCTTTTTCATTACAACATGACTATCATTGCTGCCCCAGGTCTGACCAGTTTGCACACCCTTACTTCTCTGTGGGCAGAGCTAGTTGATGGTGTGCCATCACTCCAGAACAGGGCTTCTCAACTGGAGTGTGACTTGTGCCTCCCCCTACCCCCTGGAATATGACAATGTCTGGAGATGTTTTTGGTTGTCATAACTGAGAGGGAGGTGCTACTAGTAATAATGGGTAGAGGCCAAAGATGCTGCTAACACTACAAAGCACAGGGCAGCCCCCTGCAAGAAAGAATTGCCAGGTCTCAGTGGTGCTGAGCTGAGAACTCTGCTCTGGAAGCACCTAGAGAACCTGCAGTCAAAGCTTCAGCGGCCAAAGAATTCACTTTCTTATTCCAAATAGCCAAACAGGTTATGTATTCCTTTGACACTTGGTAGAAGAGACATTAATACAGTGACTTACAAACAGCCCAGAGTTCATGGAAACTCAGAACTTCCCTTTGGTATTCTCAAAAAAAGTGAAAACTGCTGTCCTGGAAGACAGCCACATGGTCACCACCCACTCTGCAAGCACTGATACCCGCCATGCACAAGGCCGAGAGGCAACACACCCCAGCCATCTGCGGAACGTGTGCAACATAAACCATCTGCTAGACTGGATCAGAGAAGGAAGGCTCACTGTCCTCCCAGGCAGTCTCTCCCAGTATCCAGGGAGGCTTGCGGAGGCTGAAAACCACTGGAGATCCAGCAGCTAAACCCCTTATGTGAACACTGGAATGACAGGCAGTGGGTGGTGGGAGTAGGCCTACAGAGCCAGCACAGGTGATTCTTCTTTATATCTTGTTGCCAAGCCTAAATTATCACCTTGTTCAAAGCTGTTGTATCTCTTCTGCTGCTGCCTCTGGCATGCACAGCATTTGCAGTTCTCTCCTTGAAGCTACAGTATAAATATGGCTACACATACTGTACATTTTTAGCCAGGCCTGTTTATCAAGTCTCCGTGGCTTGCTTGTCACCCTCACCAGATATTCAGGTCATAAGCAACTTGAGCCTCCTGTGCTATTCTCTGAATCAAGAGCACCTTAGAGATGTGATGAGTTAATTGGTGAGGGTAAGAAAACCCCAGGTTTGGTAAAGTTTAGTTAGGTCTAAGGTTGCCCACTCCACTGAAGCTGTCCATCTTGATCTTTCTTTTATTAATAACGCAAGTTCAAACATACCTGAGCAAATACAAGTGGGGTAGCTAGGAAGGTAATATTAAATATAATTGCGAAACCTCCCATTGAAGGCAAAGTATGTAGCTAAGTACAACAGCATATACCTTACTCCTAACTTTCAAAAATCTATTATTTGGGAGTTCTATGTACATTCAAGATTAAAAGCTGTACTATACTGTTTAAATACCCTTAATGTTTTCATCAAGTCACTGAAGACATCATAATCAAAAGTACATTTACATTTAAAATTGGCATGGTGCTGTCCATGTATATTTTATCATTAAAATAAAAAGTTTAGTTAAAGCTTTTGGTTGATTGAAACAGAACAAATATTTCAACAGCTGGAAGATGTTAAAAGTCAAGAGTTCTGGCATTTGAAGAGTCATATATAATATTACTCTCCTCCCAAAACAAAACATTTCATGAAAGCCAAAGAAACATGCTATCTCATAGAAAACCAACAAAACATAAAAATATGAAAATTAAAATTCCTCTCCCATCTTTATTTATAACATTTACATAGTTGCTAGTACTATTTAAACTGCCCCAGGTAAAAGAAATAGTTTCTTCTTGGAGTTATGGAAACTCTATTTTCCTAAGTATGAAAAGTGATCAATAGCATCTTTATGTATTTACCAAAGTCAGATTATGGCTTTTCAGAGTAGACCATGAAGTTTTCATTTGGCTAGACAGCCAAGCAGCTGAAATAATTCATAATACAATCAGATCAAAAGGAGCAAGAAGAAAAGCTCAGCCTATGTTTCAATGTAGTTTGAATCTTCAAGCTAAAATGTCAGCAACTCAGAAGTAGTATTTAAGGAAATATTTCATGATAAATTTGGGCATTTATTTTATATATTCATGGAAGCCTGTTTCTGATTCTCTTCACCTTGTCTACATTATATCCCATAAACTACCTTTACTCCTATTATATTCCAGCAATTTAGCCCACCATTATTGCTTTCATCTGTGGAAATAACGTACTACAGATTTATGTTTTTTGTCTAAGTTCATAGTCTAGGAAAGATGGAATATATGTATGTAGAACCATCAGGAAAATATTTTACAGTCCTATATATCCTGGGTACAGTTAATACAGAGTGTTCCCTAGGGAAAGGCAGAGCTGAGGGGAGTGTGTGTTTGTGTGTGTGTGCGTGCGTGCGCGTGTGCTCACGTGTCTATGTTTTGGGTGGGGACACTTAGAAAAAATACTGTAGAGCAAAGGCTTGCACAGTATTCCACCTGGATGTTTCCCTAGAGCTGGACATGACCGGAAGTCTGAAGTCAGAATAAACACGCAGCAAAACAGTTGATTTACTTTATTCCCTCCAGAAGGGAGTGTTGGAGTATTGCTAACATTTTCCCAATCACAGGGAACTTGTTTAGACTAGCAACCATTAAGAGCAGCGGGTTTTTATCAAGTTACAAGGACCAAGAGAGTTGTGCACCAGCTCAGCTGGAGCAACTTTTATCTGTTCTATACAAAGGTTCTATAGCAGAAGTTTTTTTAAAAAAGGGCAATAGGGAATAATGAGAGTGTTGCCTACCCAGAAATGTCATGAGAATTTAATGATCTAAATATGTAAAATGTTTAGAACAATGGCTTGCACACTGCAAAAGTTCCTTAAGGGTTGGCCTGAATGATGATGTGGATAATGACTTGAGTCTTTATCTTTGTGGGTAATTTAAAGAAGATAAAGCACAGATGCTACAACGATTCGCTGCAGAAACTCTACTCCTACCGTATCAAGCCTTTAAGGGATGATGACCTCTAACAGGTGTTTGAATCACAGAGATTTAAAACTGGAATGGGCAGCCAGCAATGCCACAAAAAGGCTTACCTCTTCTTCTTGGTGATAATGAGCACGTCATTAAAGAGAAAGAAGTAGACTGGCTGTTTGGATGTCCTCTTTGAGAAAAGCACAGTATCTTCGACATAGGCCGTCAACTCACCTCTTTTTACCAACCAACGGGAAGAGGAGACTAGAGGAAAAGGCTACAAAAAGAGAAAAACTCAGTATCCAAAACCAAATTAAAGTCCTTCTAAGAGTAGCAAAAGTAAAATAAAAGCTCACATCCAAATGACACATTTTATGCTATTCAATCATTTGATAAGCATCTAATAGTGAAATATAAATAGAGAAGTACATTCTCCAAGGGAAGTTGAAAAAGAACAATTATTTTCCAATATAAAAATGGACTTGCCTATATGACAACTAAAACTCAATGAGAAAATGTCATCAGGTTAACCAAGAGTTATGACGCCTCCATTAACTCTCAACTGAAAAAGATGGATAAGGAGTCACTGAAAACTGAAGATCCTGAAAATGACATCCATGGGAATCAACCTCAGTTATTTATTATTATTATTTTTTTAAATATGGAACGCTTCACGAATTTGCGTGTCATCCTTGCGCAGGGGCCATGCTAATCTTCTCTGTATCGTTCCAATTTTAGTATATGTGTTGCCGAAGCGAGCACTCAACCACAGTTATTTTAAAGGTCACAAATCAGAATCTAAACATATGGAAAAACATAGATAACTGTACTCAACAAGAAACAAATAAAAATGTCTGCATTCACTTTATGAACTGAAAAGACTTTATTCAAAAGTAAAAGAGTCCCTACAAGCGTGTTTTGTCTATTGATTATATAGTTAGCCATATTCTGGAGAACACCTGTTCTTAAGTTTATGCATTTCATCTCCTGAAAGCACGATGCCACTTTCTAAAGGCAGTGGAAATAAAGTTCTTCCAAAAGAATCCATCTTAATCTCATACAAAAGGCTGTATCCAAGGAATTACATACTCCTTTTTCTTTATTTGGTTTCTAGTTTCCAACTGGAAAACTCTCAAAACCACAGAACAATCCTTACCCTAGAGAACTTTTTTTTTTTTTTTAGGTTACCAGAAATGCTTACTGCCAAAATTCTGATTTAGAAAACTATACCCATAAAAGAAGCGAAAGTTCTTTTACACACACAAGATAACTTCAGTAGTATGGCACAACCATGGGTCATCCTTCTCAAAGAATAATGATTAAAAATAGCTAAAGGCAACTGAGGTCACTAGGGAGGAACTACAAAAGTGAAGAAAGGATTTCGTGTATTTTTTTAACTTTATAAAGGACTTTTATAAGAAGGTTGCTCATCGGTTATATACTATTTTCTTGAAGGTTTAAAAGGAAGATGAAATTATGGCTGACTCAGACTTTCAAAACTGGCTATTAAGGGAGTTCATGGCGTTTCCAACCCCACCACATCTCAAATCAGTCGATTATCCAACAGGGATGGCTGAGACTTGAAAGATCGTCAAAGAGATGCTTAGAGAACGCTGGAGGACCCCACCAGCAACACACAAGAAGTCACCACAAAGAGCTGTGTGTCGGGTTTGGTCCTGAGGAAGGGCTGTAATTACCAGGAACACAGTGCTGTCTTGCTGTTGTGTGTAACCCTACAGGATGACCTAAGGATAGTACTATGGTTCGGTTCCAGTGTACACGCCACTCTATGATGGTTCTTAGTTTAGGGGATGGGGAAAGAAAGTTTTTAAAGTTATATTCTTGTTTTTAAAATAGTTGGATTTTTATGGATTCCTCAACTCCACTGGGCAAAAATAAATTTCTAATGAACATAATCTAAAACTGACAGTGCCAAATATGATGAAATATGTCAATGCTTCTTTTGAAAACAAAAATCTGGTATTATAGATTTTGTTTCAGAATTTATTGTTAGAAGATTAAACTCATTTGGATAGTTTTCTTTTTTAAGAAGAAATGATCAACAAGACCAAAAGAAAAGACTCAGAACACCCCAAAGTGGGACTAAGTGAATTCTCCTAGTTAAGAAGCTCTAAGACTAGAATACAGGTATGAATGCAAAACTAGAAGAGAAATTCATGAACAAAAATACATCCTTAAAAATACAGAAATAATTCTTATGGAAAAAAGACTTGTCATTCTTTTTTGTGTTACCTAATATCCTACAAAACTAGCCTTGGAACAAAATTTAGTTTTATGGGCCATGAAGACATGAAAGAATTTTTGTCTGAAGAGCAATTTTTTCAAAAATTGAGAAAAAATTAATAATTTATCCATTTTAAAGATTATTTAGTGACTTTTAGTCCATTGACAGTGTTGTACAATGATCATCACTATATAATTCTAGAACACTTTCATTCCCTAGAAAAGAACTCTATATGCATTAAGTCACTCTCCATTCTGCCCTCTGCCAGGCCATAGCAACCACTAATCTACTTTCTAACTTGAACAGTTTGCTGATTCTGGACAGTTTATGTACATGGAATTATATAATATGCGACCTTTAAGTCTGAGATTCATCCATGTAGTAGCATGTATCAGAATGTCATTCCTTTTTTGCTGAATAAAACACTATTTCATCGTATGGATATACCACATTTTGTTAATTAATTCACCAATTTTGTTTATGAACATATGGATTGTTTCCACATTTTTGGTTATGATGAATGATGACATGAAAATTCACATACAAGTTTATATTTGAACAACTGTTTTCAGTTCTCTTGGATATATACCTAGGAAAGGAATTGCTGGTAATTGGTAATGCTATGATTAACTTTTTGAGAAAACACCTAACTGTCTTCTACAGTGCAAAGACTTTTTTAACACCTTAGAGCTCTTCATTTTGTCTGTTACATCATGAACTTCTATTAGCAAGTCCCCCAAACACCAATGAGCAAACTCAGTTACCATCTAACACAGCAACCGACACCGCCCCTCAATCACATTTCATTTAGCGTTCATGGCACAGCCTGAGAACCCTCAATTTCTCCATGTGCTTATTAATAAGGTTAAATTTTCCATTATAAGGCTCTGTGGAAACAACCTTTAGAGAAAGCTGTAGCCTAGTGGGAAAAAAAGACTGAATTCGAGGCACAGGTTAAGTCTCTGATATTAGTTTGGGGACTAACTTTTTCTCCACAACCCTCCCTTCCCTTCCTCCTGTCAAGCTTGTTGCGGGAAAAGTCCAATTTGTTTAAATGGTTTCACATCCCATTCACTCTTTAACACTTTGCAAATGTCCACCAGGCCTATGAAACTAAGCATCTGAATGGTATTTACTATTTGCCTACTATGAATCAGGTCTGTACCACGTCCTTTACAACTATTAATTAATTTAATCTTCACAGTAACTCCAGGAGGGAAAGTACTTTTATCAGTCCAATAATTAACTGTCTGATAATATCAGTCCCATATTAACTGTAAGAAAGCATTTTACAGTTCAGAAAACTAAGACATAAAGTTAAATAATGCCCAAGGTCATACAGCTAGTAGTAGGTGATGGAGCCTCCCTGCGAATCAGGCCAGCCACCTCCAGCGTCCACACTCTTAACTTATACTGGCTTCCTAAATTCCAAGCCAGTGGATTCTTTCTACCCCTCTCACATTACTACTACATAACACATTACACTATTCGAGAAATGTACAGATTTAAAAATGAAAAACATATGTAAAAGCATACACATCTATAAGCTTTCTTTTTCCCTTCAAATTAGAAAAGAATCAGCATTATTATACCATCCTTGGTGAGAATGTGGATTCTGGAGTCAGTAGCAGGCCTGAATCCAGGCTTCCCTGCTTCTTGGTATATGACTTAAAGCAAATCATTTAATATCTCTAGCTCCAGATTCCTCAACTATAAAATAAGAACCATAAAGGGATACTTCATGGTGTTCTTATGAGAATTAAATGAAACTATGTGAAGATGACATGGAGTACATACTCAGCAAATATTCTCCTAGTAGTAGAGGCAGTGACCCAAATACGCCGACACAGAACTTGCTACCTTTCTCAAGTTTTCCTCCCTGTGGATCCATTATCTAAGTGGAGGGTGTGACTCTCCCCCCAGGCACCCAGATGAGACCTCTGAGGCACCACCTCCTGCCCACCTCTGGGGGTCCTTCCTGTCTCTGCACTCTGCTTCCAACCTCCCAAATGGTTTCTCAGATCTAGTCTTACTATATTCCCACCTCATCCTCCACATTGCTGCCTTAATACGTTTTTTTAAAAATAATTAATTGAATTTGTTCTGTGTGGGGGGTGTGGGGGGTGTGGGGGGGCAGTATTAAAAAATGTGTGGAGTGGGGAGGGCAGTATTAAAAAAAAGGACAAGAACTGTGAAAAAGTAGTAAGTGAAAACTTTCCTTCCCACTCTGTTTCCCACCTACAACTCCTACCTACTGACCACTGCCCCCAGAAGGTAATAATAACTTTTTTCCTGTAACTTTGCAGAGATTTCTTACAAAAATGAGCAAATTTTATATTCTTTTTTTCCTTCTGCTTTACACTTTTTTTTATTTAATAAGAAGAAATGAGAAACCTTTCCATATTGGTATCTAAAATTCTCCTTTTTTTTAAGTTGCATGGTATTATATTATTTGGGTGTACTATAATTTACTTAATTAGTCCTCTACTGATAGATATTGAGGTTGTTTCTAATCTTTTGCAATTATAAACAATGGCATATCAATAACTCTGTATGTTATATGTGTATGTGTTATTTGATACCTTCATGAAGATATCTAAAGGATAAATTCTTAAGGGTAAAATTGCTGAGTCATAGTAACTTGCATTCACAATTTTGATAGTTACTGCCAAACTGCTCACCATTGGGGTTATAACAATCTTTCCTACCAACAACATATAAAAGTGCCTTTCCCCACAATCTCACTGAAAAATGTGCTAACAAACTTCTGAATTACTTATAAATCTAAGATGTGAAATATATTTATCTTAATTTCAATTAGCTATTTTCTTCTGAATGAAGTAGCATGTTTTCAAGTGTCTAAGAGTCATTTGTATTTCCCCTTATGAAGCAGTTTTCTAATTTACAATTTTCTAATGAGTTTTTTCCTTACCTTTTTCTTATCACTTCAGAGTTTATATGTCAGGGATATTAACTCTTTATATGTGAGCAGCAAACGTTTTTTCCAGTTTGCTATTTCCCTTTTCACTTTTTTATGCCTTGTATTTTTAAAAGTTTCATATAGATGAATTTATCAATACCTTCTTTTAATAACTATTGAATTTGGAGTAGGTCGGAAAGGCCTGTCCCATGTTACTAAAGTCATCTTTACTAAACGCACATATGATGGTGTTGCTTTGTTACTTAGAACATCTCAGTGGCTCCCAAGTGACCTTGCTCAGCTGCTCCTCTTGGCACACAAGGCTCTTCACATGAGCAGCTCTTACTGCTCCAGCTCTGCCTTACTTCTCTTGCAACTCCTGTATATCCACGGGATATGCATGATTCCTGGCCTACAGCAGCTGGAACCATGCCCTGTGCATTTGTTCCTGCTCTTCACTCCTAGAAGACCCTTCTGCCTCACCTTTAAAGATTCAGCTGAAATATACCTCTAGTATGAAGACTTGCCTGATGGCTACGAACTCCCCACACTTCCAATCCTCACTCTTAGAGCTGTCACCCCCTTTCCACTGCCAGTGTTCTCCATAGTCTTCCATCTACCATGACAGCTGTAGACTTTGCTGCCTCCTTCATATTTCTGTCATCTTCTACGACTGTAAGCTCCCCGAAGGCAGAGATCATGTCTTTGTTTTCCCACTGCCTTCCACAAAGAAGGCACTCATGAAATTTGTTGAAAGAATTCATGTGCTTCAACAAATTACTTAACTTTTTTGCACATCTATCTTTTCATCTTTAAAATAACTGAGTAAAGTTGTCCATGGTTATCTATAAGGTGTTATGGAAATTAGGTCCTAGATTGTATTAGAATTTCTAAGTGGTCTGAATTTAAAAATCTAGACAGAATATCTTCCATTAAAACTTCAAATATTTAGTCATTGAACCAAAAGAAAACAAAACAACACAAAATTCATGAACTCAATTGATGTGAATCACTTACTTTTAAGGACCCTTGGGGAAAGCATTTTTTCAATTACAAATTAATTTTGGGTTATGAAGAAATAGAGCTTAAAGGTATATTAAACCAACTGATTGTTAGCAAAAAGGAAAAAGAAAAAGTTTGGAAAGGGATTTATCATCTCTAAAAAGGAGGGGATAAAAAAAATTCTTTTGGAAAGGGATTTATCATCTCTAAAAAGGAGGGGATAAAAAAAATTCTTATGTCCAGAAATATTTTCTAAAATATTTTAAACAAATTACAGAGAAAGACAAGATTTTTTTGAGAGATGGGAGAAAAGATGGGTTTTGAAATTGCTGTAAATTTCTGTGTGAAGACATTGTAACTATTTAAAGTATATGAATGTGTTTGTGTTGTTTTTAGCAAATACTTATCATGTGTTCAAAGATTTATGGATTGTGTTTCTGCATCTAAACCACTATAATCAGGGTGTTACAGCGGAAGCTTACACTGATCTGCAAGTCAAGACACATGGGCCCTTGGCCTGATCCTACTACCCATTAGTCCAGTGACTCCCTAACAATTACTCCATGGGCTTTATTTTTCTCATATAAAAAATAAAAGTGTGCAGCTATATATTAGTGGTCCACAAGCTGTATGACAAGGCAGATAATCTGCTCTCTGAATAATGTCATGAAATGCTGATCACTCTAATTCCACTGCATGAATGAGGAACACTTTTACTATGAAAAAATGTGATCAGTCACTTTAAATTGCTTAATTAAATTTATGGGTACTAAACGAGATTGAATTACAATCGTGAGCACTCACATCCATTAAGCACTCAGTTGTGAGTAAAAAAAGGACTGGCCACAGCCTAGATTTGCCATTAGCTGTCACTTTCTTTTTGGTTCATCTTGGCAGCCACTTCTGAGCAGTATCAGACAAGCAGTCACAGGCAGTGAGAAAAGAATTATGGGGAAGAAAAACAAGTATGAAAAGAACAATCCACAAACAATCTTTTTTTGCAAACTGGGAGAGGAGTTATTTAACTTAGAACACCCTGGTCCAGTTCATGGGATACCACTGTTTTGCAGAACACTGAGAATGCTTTCCGTTCTAAAATCCTGTTATTCTGAATTACTGTTTCCCCCAAAGCTGGTGTCATCCTGGGGGGAAAGCGCTAATGAGATAATACCTTACGCATTGGCCTGGAAAACAGTAACTTTATCCATTGACTGTAAGCAAGAGCAGAATTGCCCAGAGCACCTGCTACTTCCTTGGCCTCTCTCTGAGCAATTTATGGCCCTTATTTGAAAAGCAAATTCCTATCCACCTTGTTGCCCTCAACTATCTCTCTGTATTTATGTAAGATTTAAGTAAGAGCAGTAATAAAACTGTTTATGAAGACATAGGGAATACCTTAATTTTAAATTCCAGCTGAGAGTTAATCATGTACATCATTTCAGTCCTTTCCATCTTCCGAGCTCCTTCATTGCACAGTCGAACCAACTGAAAATACAGAATAATAAAGAGGGGTAAGATGTTGAATGGAGAAACCTCACTTTCAAATGTAGATCTCTTGCAGGAAAGAAAACTCATTTCTGACCATTGAAGAACTCACAGTTTGACACAGTAAAGACACTGCACCCAGTTAGAAGTGGTGTCATTAGGAGGTTAAAAAATGTCCTGAAAGTTCTCAAGGACACAATGTCTGTGTGCTCTTGTTCACACCACGCCCTCCGCACACACTCACCCGTTCCCTGCACCGTCTGGGTCTCCGTCCTTTCTTCTGGCCCACCCACCCCTCAATTTCACCCATAGGAACCCCACCCAACCTCAATGCAAGCTGCACTTCTCTCCCCACTTCCATATCAAAGCAGCTGGAGGCCAACTAAACAACCTGAAAGGCAAATTCTAAGCAGAGTGCTAAATGCAAAGCATGAGACCAGTAACAGGATGTTGAAAGAAGGAAGCCTTCACTTGGAACCTAATGGTCAGTCAGTCTTCAAGGAATGTCAAGCTAAAGGAAATTCAGTTCAGTTAGAACTACTGAGTTATCAACAAACTGAATGCATTCCAAGTCTTCTGATGAGAGTCTGTGGTATTGTGATTTATAATAAGAAACACATACTTGGTCCTGGCAGGCAGCTCCTAAATGCCTTATAATATCGTATTTAAGAGTCATAGGGGCATCTTTACATATGATATCTACTTTTGTTCCCAGTTCTTGAAATAGCTCGAGTGATAAAAGTGAAATAAGTGAATTGCTGTCTTTTTATACCAGCCCCTTTCAAACACGCCTGAGGTTATGGTAATGAAGTAACTTTTGGAAAGCCCCTAAGGATGGGGGCCAGTTGCCAAAGGAACGCACCAAGTAATTGGAGAGAAGGTTGGAACTTCCAGCCCCACCCCCAAACTCTGCAGAGGGGAGATGGGCTGAAGATGAACTTGATAACTGATGGCCAATTATTTAATCAATCATGCCTAAGTAATGAAGCCTTTATATAAATCCCTGAACTAGGGAGTCCCTAGAGCTTCCAAGCTGGTGAACAAGAACACAACCACATGCTGAGGGGGCAACACCTGCACTCCACAGTGATAGCTTCTGTGCTTGGGACCCCTCTGGGCCTCAGCCTACCTAGTAATCTGGCCATTCATTCATATCCTTTACTATCCTTTGGAATGGACCCGTAAACTAGTGAGTAAACTTGTTTCCTGAGTTCTGAAGGCTGCTCTAGCAAATTAATTGAACCCAATGAGAGGGCCACAGGAACCTCTGATTCACAGCCAGCTTGTCAGAAGCACAGTGACAACTTGGACTTGTGATTGACTACAGAGATGAAGGGGGGAGTCTTGTGGGATGGAAGTAGGATCTGATGCTGTCTCCAGGTATATTCAGAACTGAACCAAACTGTAAGACACCAGCTGGTGTAGCAAAATGGCTTGGTGTGGGGAACACCCTCCACCACATTTGGTGACCAGAGGGTCAGAAATGAAGTATTCTGTGAGTAGACTATTAAGAGCAGAGGAGACAAAAACAGGAGTTTCTCCTTTACACTGAACCTAATACATAATTAGTTCTTTGGCTGTAAACCAGAGCAAACTCTGTATGTCCAATTTTTTATTAACTGAAAAAAAATCTGTAAAAAATGTCTATATCAAGGGTCATTGGCCATAAAGACAAATTTGATGGTTAAAAATAAAAGCTGGTAAGTCTAATTGGATTTACTTTTAGTATTTCTGCTCTATTAAGTCAGTAATATATGCCCACTGTAAAACATAACAAAATAAAAAAACCTGATAATATACAAGTAAATAAAATGAGCCATAAAAAGTTCTGACCTAATCCCACTGATAATTGGAAACAGGTTGGATTATACACTATCTCTTTTTTTCTATGCTTCTACGAACATATAAACACACACATATGTGTAAAAAATTTTTTAATTTTTGTAAATGATCAATTCTATGCTTGTTTGTAACTTGATTTTTTTTTTCACTTAACTAATATTTCCCCTTATAAATATAACATTTCTGAAAAGAAAGTTTATGTTGTGCTTGGTATGTGTCAGATGCTAGGGTTACAATGCTCAGCAGAGATCCACAAACCCTATCCTCAAGGACGTTCAGAGACCAGATCCAATAATTACAAGCTGAGATCTTAAAGGAGACAGACAGTGTGCTGGAGGGAGGAGTGTGGGGAGGCAGTCAAGGCCTTTCTTGAGAGGCTATTTAAGCTGAAAGCTAAAAGAGGGAATTAGACTCTGCATATGGGGACAGCAGTGGTCCAGGCAAAGTGAACACCGTAAGCAAAGAGCCTAAATGGGAAAGTGCTGGCGTGCTTGAGAAAGTAAAAGGTGCCACACAAGGGAGATCACACAGGACGAAGCTAGAGAGACAGGCCAGGGTCAAAGCATGCAAGTTCTTAAGGCAACTGTTTTGTATTTTAAGTGCAAAGAGAGGCCACCAGCAGATTTCAGTAAGGAAATGACATCATGCAATTTATGCTATGATCATACGGGCTTTCCATGAAATATTTATTCAATCCCTTACTGATGAACACTTAACTGATTTCCAATTGCTTAACAGATTTCTAGATTTGGAGAGTACATCATCTTCAATTACAGTGTATCTTTGGGTCTGAATGGTCTGAAGAGTTCGCTGATGCACAGACTGATGGTTCTATGCGTGATCAAACCAAGGAGCTGAAATCTTCCTAGCTGGGGTTAGGAGCAAACTGTGACTGCAATGTCCTGAAAGGGGTAAGACAGCTCAGAGTGAACTCCCATCAGGCAGCCATTGCTCAGGACGTTTTTGTGATTACTCTTGAGGAATATATTTGCAGTTCCCAAAGCTATGCTCCCAGATGTATGCCCCCAGGCTCTACATCCAAGTACCTAGGTAACATCTCTCCTTGGATCTCCCACAAGCATCTCAAACTCACAACGAGAATGACCTAACCTGAGCATCATCTGCCCTCCCCTGCCCTCGGCCCCATGTTCCTAGCTCGGGGACCAACCTCACCATCACCTACTTCCTCAAGCCAAAAGGCCTGGCCCTCTCCACTCTCAGATGCCTCTCTCTCCTTTGTCTCCCACCTCCAAACAGTCACAAGGTCTCCTTAATGTTGCTGTCCTGCTGTCCACAGTCCTCCATTTGCCCTGCCCTCTCAACTCAGGCTCAAACCCCTTCTCCCCTGGATTACTGACTTCCTAACCCTCTGCCATCACTTCTGCTCTACCTTTATGTATCCCCCCAAATAATGTTGCTAATCATTTTAAGTTCAAATCTGATCATGAGAATCCTTGGCTTAAAAAGCTTAAAAGGCTCCCCAAATCTTTCAGAAATAAGTTTTAGCAAGACTGTGATCTGCCACCTACTTACTGATCCCTAACCTGTCACTATTCTTATATTGGGCTCAGTGTTACCAAATTTCTGGCCAAAGCACCACACTCCATCTTGCCTCTGTACTTTCATATCTGTGCTTCCCTCTGCCTCAACACCCTTCACCCTACTCTGTCCAACGGGCTCCTTCTCATCCAGATTCATACCCCCTCCCCCTTGTCTGTCAGGTCTCATTGAGCAATGTTTCTGTGTAAACAAACTGATTTTGGAGACAATTTATAAGTCCTTATTAAAAAAAAAGAAAAAGGAACAACTCATTTACAGTTATTCAGTTTGAAATGAAAGGGAAAAAATGGCATTATTAAGTTTGAGGTATCATCTTATTTCCTCAACTGTCAAATATCAACTCCATCGGCAAAAGATGAAGTCATGCCACAACTTTAGAAGAATTTGCTTCGGAAGGCATACTAAAAACAAGAAAGTTCCCACAATGTCTTAAGTTATCATCAGTGGAGTCTGTTTTAATGATTATTTTGCAGAGGGGGACTCTAATTTGGGTATGTGTGCACTGCTGTTTTTGTTTTTATTAAAATCAGCCTTAGTATATTAAAGCTGTGCCTTCCTTCATCATTTGTCAAAACATTAAATTTAACTTGCTGAGTTTTTTGTTAGGCCAGGCTTATTTAAAAAAAAAAAACACCTCAATCCCTCTAATAAAAAATGTAAATTAAAAACAAAGTAGTTTCAATCAATTGAATTCACAATTAAAATATTCAATTCTGGAAAGTATGTAGTAAGATACACAAAAATACTTCTGGTGGTCAGAAACATGGGAATAATCTTTCTTGAAGGCACTTAGGGGCTTTTAAAACATACCCATATTTTTGTTTCAATAAACCCACTTCTAGAAATTTATCTTTAGGATAACCAAATGAGCACAATCATTTATGTAAGACAAATGTTCCATGCAGCACCATTTAAAGTAGTAAATAAAATGGGCACCGTACAAATCCATTTTTAAGTGTACACTTACACCTATACACTAGTATTGGAATAGAAACCTAATTGGAAGAATATGCAGTAGAACAACATAGTCATTATCTTTGATAAAATTACTAATAAATTATATTTTCTGTCTCTTAAATTTCCCAAATTTTCTGTAATATACCACTTATTTCTTTATTCTAAAAAATATCTTTGTAAACTTTAACTGCATTCTTACAGAGCAGTACTTATGAATGAAAAACAGAAAACTTATGAGTTCTTCCCTTCCATATTTCTCTCCCTTTACCATAGGTAATCACAGTGGAAAGTTTGGTATGATACTGGGAGTATTTCTATATAACAATAAAATACACATGTATATAAACACACTTTATTATCAAGGTGTCATTACACTATTTGTATTGTTCTATAAGTTAATCTTCCTCACTTAACAATATAGCTTAGAGATCTTTCCATATATATATATGTGTGTGTGTGTACACACACACACACACACACACATACACTTATACATATGTCAAATGGCTGAAGTAATAAATAAATTACCAGAAAAGATTAAGAGACTTGGTTATTTTGCTAATAGGAGAAAAGCTTAATAACTTAATACAACCTACAAATATAAGTAGAATTTTTATGAGGTGACAGTTAAAGAAGTTAGTCTTTTTCCATGGGAAACTAAACAGAAGACTGCAGCAGGAACGATTTCACTGACATAAGAAACCACCTCCTGACCACCACTCCTTAAACACCAGACACCTCTTTGCACAAGCTAAACTTTTAGCAGATTCCTTGGAAAGCACTCTGCCCCCAGCTCCACCCCAGCATGTGAAAAGCAATTCAGAAAGTAAACACATTTTTCATTTGATAGGAACATCACATCTTTCTTGACTAGATCAATAAGTCTTTCCAAGGCCCCAAATTCAATTAGCTGTAATAGTCACTTCAACAATGTGCTTGAGCAATTACACTGATGTATTTATTACTCACACTATGCAAATAAATTTCATTATCATTTTAAGTATCAAAGAAGGTATTACTCATTTTTTTCTATGAATGGATACTATCTAGAGAGACTTACTCAGAGCCTTAGGTGAAGTTCTAAAAACTACGACCTTGACATACTCAGTTTCACTCTCCTCAGTAAATATCAGGAACTCCCAATTTCTTTCATTTCAGGTAACACCAGCAAGCAAAATTCTGCATAAAGGCATTACATCCACAATCTTTCTATTGAAAATACTGATATTGTTTTCCCCAGATCTATAAAACCCCATCAGTAACCTTCACAATTGAAAAAGATGAATTTCTGAGCTGGCTATAGGAATGATTTCAGTTCTCATATAACACTAGAAAACTAAGGGAATGATTCTGATGTTCATAACTTGTGCTCAAAAGAGAAAGACATGCTTCCCTACAGAGAAGACAAGTCACTGGCATAGCAGTTCTTCAGAGAGACTATTATATACTGACAGTATCAAATCAAGGCAATTCACTGTGCCACCACATTTTTCTGCCAGCCTTTCCTAAAAGTACAAGTGTCAAGTCAAGTGAACAAGAGATGCCTGAAGGGATATAGTAGTCTACTGTAACTGGGATGCCAAATTCTTGAAAAAAAATTAAATATCATTCCTAGTTCAATTCAATAGCCAATTACTACTACCTTCCTCTTCTCTTCGGTGTGAATTCTTTTTCAACTTCTCAGTAACAACTAAATAAAATTTGACAGTATCTTGCATCTCCAAGGCTAGAACTTCTCTAGTAGCATTTTTCTTTTTGGTATCATTAATCTACAATTACATGAAGAACATTATGTTTACTAGGCTCCCCCCTTCACCAAGTCCCCCCCACATACCCCTTCACAGTCACTGTCCATCAGCATAGTAAGATGCTGTAAAATCACTACTTGTCTTCTTTGTGTTGTAGAGCCCGCCCCGTACCCCCCGCACATTATACATGCTAATTGTAATGCCCTTTCTTTTTCCCCACCCTTATCCCTTCCTTCCCACCCATCCTCGCCAGTCCCTTTCCCTTTGGTAACTGTTAGTCCATTCGTGGGTTCTGTGATTCTGCTGCTGTTTTGTTCCTTCAGTTTTTCTTTGTTCTTATACTCC